GGTGCTTGCTCGGAAGTTTAGGGGTTTTTTTCGCTGTAAAAAGAAGTTTTCTTCCCATGCAGGATGGACACTAATGTTTTTGTCACTTTTTACGGAATCAAACTCAAAAGTAAGGTCAGTACTTCCACGCTTTAAACGCTGCACGCTCATACTCTCTCCCGCACTCGATATATTATCCATTGTTGATCTGCACACAGCTGTTGTCACGAGACACACTCGCAAAAAAAATCATGGTTTTAGTAACGCAGTAATGCAGTGTGCTTACAGGAAAGAAACAGTAATCTAATTACCTTTTTTGCAATAGTAATCCCTTACTTTACTTGTTACTTGAAAAAGGTAATCAGATTACAGTAACACGTTACTTGTAATGTGTTACTGCCCATCTCTGTTGTGGAGTAACGAAATACATGTAATGGAGTTAGGTATTTAAGATACAAAATACGAGTAACTATATTCCGTTACAGTTACTGCTTAAATGGGTGATAATCAGAATACAGTTTCTTTGTTGCAGTAAACGGAATACACAACAGTCATTTCCTGCTTCATATCCTAGGCCATCCCCTCTCTACCCCTTCTCCAGTTTTGGTGATTAAACACCATCATGCACTGGTTTAGCTCATTTGGATGAGCATGCAATTTAACTCATTCACTGCCAGCCATTTTCAAACGTATGCTTTCAATTGACGTCTATAGCCGTCAATGGCAGTGAATGAGTTAATTGCAAATGGCTGGAATTAATCCAGTTTATCAGATTCTGATTCTGATTGAACTTATCCTCAGCAGCAGAGGTGACGCTTGGTCTTCCTTTGCTGGGGCGGTGCTCGTGTGAGCCAGTTTCGATGTATAATATGAATTATAAAAGTTGTCAAATAGGGCTGTCAGCTGCGTACCTACCTGACTTCTGCACAACACAACTGATGGTCCCAACCCGTACAACCCGATTAAGAAGGCAAGCAATTCCACCAATGTACCCTGACAAGTCACACCTGTGAAGTGAAAACCATTTCAGGTGACAACATCATGAAGCTCACTAAGATAAGGCCAAGGTTTGACACATTTTCAACAAAACAAAAAGTGGCTACTTTAGGAATCTAAAATATAAGACATATGCAGAGTTATTTATACTTTTTTTTCTTTGTTACATAATTTTATATATCTTGCTTTATATATTTGATGTTTTCAGTATGCATCTACAATGTAGAAAGTATTAACATATAGAAAAAAAAATTAAATAAGCCTTCAAGCTTTTGATATACTCCCCAACTCACTCAGAAACAAAAAACAAAAAATATGTGTTGCATAACTGCATGATTTATAATCAACAGTCTGTGGCGATTACATTAGCACTCACTGTAACTTAATCATCATCACAGCACGGAGCTGTGTTTCTACAAACACACACATACACACAGTACTCACCATAACAACATATCCCACTGTAACTGACATTTCATGCAGTTCCCCATCAAACTTACAATGTTTATATTGATGTTTATATTTTTTCATAGTACAACATACTACTGGCTTCTTACAATCACTCCTCCCTTAACCAAAGTACATGCAGCAGTAGCGTGTAAACTGACAGTGTTGCATACAGTTATGTACAACTATGTACTCTGCATCTTTCTGTCAGTCACTCAGGATTACCAATGAGAGAGCTGATGTATACCTTTTGTGGGGAATTTAAAAACAAACAAAACAAATATTCTTATGCCAAAACATTATTTCTGTTCATCTGGTTAGATGGTGTTGTGGAAGTTTTCCATGAAATAAAGCCTGCAGACGAGCGGTGAGCAGTAGCTAACATTCTTTAATCCAAACACACAAAGACAACAGACAACCAAGCTTGTGGAGAGCCTGCATGACCGCGGGGCAGGTCAGCAGAGGCTCTCTGAGCCTAGCATGGCTCTCAGTTAAATACCTTCTCCAGGAACGAAAGGCAGTACACAGCTGTTTCACAGCTTAAGGTTCACACTCCCTTGCTACCTCCCAGAGTCCTCAAAGAGACAAAAGACTCTTCCTGTGGCGTGGTCTGCTTCCCCCAACTTCCTTACTACACCCCCACCATTTGTCTTACAGTATGAGTGTCAGACATGTTAAAATCCAGTGGCACCAAGGCATCATACAATAAAATAATGTGATTAATACATAAGTAAAAGAAATTCCTATACAATCCCACCCTTTGATTCTTAAATCAAAGAATCACATTAATACCAGAATTTCTTTCCTGACATTCTGTATATCACATTAACATTGTTGTACACTTAAAGGAGTTTCACACTGTGTATCCTCACTTCACTGTTCTCCCACCACCCTTTGTTCATCTTTAATCTTCCCCACAATCTAAGCTCTCACATGCAAATGGCAACAACAATGATACAGAGGAAAGGCCTTCTCCAGAGTGTCAAAGTACTTTGCATGGCAAAGTGAAGCAGCATTTGGTGGTCATTCTCAGTCACGGTCATGGCTCCTGGTGTCTGTGCCGTTTACAGAGTCATAATTCCAACGCTGATCTCCCTTTGCGCTGTCACCGTTGGAGCTTGGCACGCTCTCTCCATCCCTCGATTTCTGTTCCAACGCAGCTGTAGATTAGGAGCAGAGCAAGTCGTTGGGAGAGGCTGTAGTGTTTTATTATAGGTACATCTTATGTGAAGGTTCTGTTTTCTTGTTTAGTAAACTTCCTGCCTTCATTACCCTTTTGGTGAGCAGGAGGTCACACAAATGCACCCCCAAACACAAACACACGCACTCGCGTGCACATGCATGCACACACACACACACACAGTGGCTTGCAAAAGTATTCGGCCCCCTTGAACTTTTCCACATTACGTCACATTACAGCGACAAACATGAATCAATTTTATTGGAATTCCACGTGAAAGACCAACACAAAGTGGTGTACATGTGAGAAATGGAACGAAAATCATACATGACTCCAAACAGTTTTTACAAATAAATAACTGAAAAGTGGGGTGTGCTCACAGATATTGAAGCTTGCACAGAGAGAGAGAGACAGAGATGCCCCTGAGACAATGCAGCACATAACAGCAGGATACAAGATGCTAGCAGGCAGGGCATACATGGAACGTCATAACCAAATGGCCAGCATAGTATACCCTAGTGGCCTGGATACAGTAGGGCCTTGAAGTCCCGAGGTCAAAATAGGAGACGCGCCCTAGGGTGGTGGAGAATGACCGAGCTAAGATCCTGTGAGACTTCCAGATAGAGACGGACAAAATGGTGGTGGCTAACCAACCGGATATAGTGGTGGTAGACGAACAGAAGAAGACTGCCGTAGTGATAGATGTAGTGAATCGAATGACACAGACATGAAGATGAAGGAATATGAGAAGCTGGAGAAATACCAAGAGCTCGAGAAGATGTGGAGGGTGAAGGTAACAGTGGTCCCAGTGATAATCGGAGCACTCGGAGCAACGACTTCCAAACTAGCCAAGTGGCTCCAGCAAATCCCAGGAACAACATCAGAAATCTCTGTCCAGAAGAGCCCATTCCTAGGAACAGCTGAGATACTTTCAAGCTCCCAGGCATCTGGTAGAGAACCCGAGCTTGAAGGATAAAGACCATCCACAGAAGCGAGGGGATTTTTTTTTTTTTTTTTTTGAAGAGAGAGAGGAAGAGACTCATATTTGTTTCACCTTACTTCAACTGTACAGAGACACCTAAAAAGTGGCTGTTCTATTAGGAATACTGTTGATAGAAGCCACAAAGTGGTCAAAAAGGTGATTAAACTGTCATGCCCATGTAAACATATTTTTTTAATTGTCCAAAGTCTTCGAGTAGAAGGACATCTAATTAAGACTGATAATAGAACCAGCAAATGCAGATAAATATTAAATTCCCCAGTTTTAATACATGCATATTATGACTGCTAAATAGGGATGGGTACCGGTGTCCGGTGCCATGATGGCACCGGTTCTGACATAAACGGTAGTAACCAGACCGAAAAGCAGCGCACATTTCGGTGCTTTATTTCGGTGCTTTTTTTCCTGAGCTGTGATACACTTCTAGCCAATCATTTTACGTTTCCGAGGATAGTAGGCG